TTCATTTTGTGAATCTTTAAATTTTAAGAAGCTTCTACTTTTGTCAGCTGCTCTCAGGATATGTTAAAATATCTTTTGGTGATGTTTTTGAACTTACTACTATATTTGTCAACATCCAGCTTGAGTATCCAAATAAAGTTGCAAGATAGCAAAAGACCTTCCTTGTGATTATTAATTCTAAAATTTAACTGAATCTTAGGAAGTCAGAGAAGCTGCAGATCACAGACTCAGGTAGGTAGAATATGCACATGTTGGTCAGCTTATAAGGAAAGTAATTTCCAGAACCTTTCTCCCTTCTCCTTGATACTGTTTCCCATTTTACTTCTCCTCCAAAGAAATTTATTATATTAAACATAAATAGGTCCAATACCTTTAAAATAAGAATGATCAGAAAGAACGCACAGGTGATTTTTATACTACATTTAACCACACACCCAATGTTAATATGAAAGATACTTACATTATACAAATGTGTGTGTGTGTGTGTGTGAACTCCTTTATAGTATTGATCTGTAATGATAGTAATATTTACTCTATTGAGTCAGCAGGCACAATTCCCTTATCCTTCCTTGTGTATAATACAATCTTCAAGTTTAGTACAGGAACATCTCCATGGATCATTTTCATCAATACATTGGTTTTTTGGTAAAGACAGATAGATAGCTTAGAGTAGAATACCCTGAACTCATATTCCATTGATGTATTTATAATTGGCTTACGTATTTGAAATACAATCTTCTTAGAAAGATGACTGAAGACTATGTATTATGGATCTCTTTTATTACTATTGGCCATCATATGGAGAGAATCTTGATATGTAAATAATTTGCATTATGGGGAGAAATTTTAATCACCTGGCAGAACCTATGGAAGTATGGTACTAGCATAAAAATTGAGCTATTTATTTGTGAAAATGTTTTATATACCATGGCTTAAGAGTGAATAATTCACACTTGATCCCATATACATTGCTCATTATGATATTGAAAAACTGCATCCATTAAAGGTAGGTTTATCAGAAGCAATAACAATGATCAATATGCATTTTCCAGGTCAATGCTAATAATCTTATAAGATGTATTTCAATAACCTATTGTCAAGACTTCATTGCAGGTAAATGAATTGGGTAAGTTATATCTTAACTGGTTAAATATATTATTTTGAAATTACTCGAAATTTCTTAAATCAATAAGTCTCTTTGATGATTTTGTGAAAATTTGCATTTGATTTATTGATATATGGACCGCTTTAGGGAAAAAAGCAAGATTGGTGCGCATACAAGCGATGTATTTTATTTTTGCTTATCCAAATCTAGCGTAACTGTAAATGCAAATAAATGTTGAGAAAAATGAGAAGAAAAAGAAAGGCTATATTGTTTTGAACAGAACGATGAAAAATAAAAGTTTAACATGCCAAAATAAAAATGCTGGTAAAATACTACCTGACCAGAAAGTAATCTATTCCTATCTTGATGGCAAATGTGTCACAGAATGAACTGTGCTGATTTTGTTCTCTTAAATTTGGTGATGAGATTTACTTAACAAATACCTGAAAAGGCCAATGTTGATGTCAAACATTTGGTCAATAAATTGCTATTCTTCTAACAAGTGAGGCTCTGCAATTCTTTCAAAAATGTTTTGAAGAAAGAAAAACTTTTGCAGTCTGCATCTAAATTATTTGAGACATTGATTTTTATCTATACCTACTCTTAATAATTTTTGCCTGAAGAATATTTGCATGAAAATATATTATGAGAATGAGAATGAATCTAAACAAGCTCACTTAGGAATTAATTTGGTTTACTTACATTGTTTTCATATAACTCAATTTTGTAAAATTAAATCAATAAATATAAACCCATGGAATAAATTGACTAATTTCACAATTTCAGTAATTCAAAAATTGCCAGAATGAAGGTACAATAAAGTGGAATAAGTTTTGACTTTTTCAACAATAATTAGACATGTGTAGACCTCAGAGCCAAAGTCTAGGACTGCATTTTGATAATTTTTGTTAAATTTTGTTATAGGGACCATAACATTAATAGTATTTCAGACTCTATACATCTGATTCTATTTCAGGATCCTTTGTTTCTCCTTGTTCTTTGTAACAGTCAAGAGAATGGATCACCAGCTTACGATTTTATTATTATTTTATACTAGAGAACACTGTGACCCATTGGGTCATCCTTTGAGAGAAAGATAACATCTAGAAACAAGTAAAGTAATAACTAGCAGTCAGTTTGGGTTTGTTAAAAAGAGATCATGCCAAACAAATCTCATTTCATTCTTCAACATAGTGACTAAATTAGTAGACTAGCAAAATACTGTGGACATAATATGTTTAGATTTCAGCAAGGCATTCGACAAAGTACACCACAACCTACTTCTTAGTAAGCTAGAAAAAAGTGGAATAGATAGCACCACCACTAGATGGACTCGCAACTGGCTGGCAAACCGTACTCAACGAGTAGTCCTTAATGGGTCTAAGTCTACATGGAGGGAAGTAAGCAGTGGGATGCCACAAGGTTCCGTCTTAGGCCCAGTACTCTTCAATATCTTCATTAACGACTTAGATGAGGGAATAGAAGGGGAACTTACCAAATTTGCAGATGTTACCAACCTGGCAGGAATAGCTAACACCCAAGAAGATAGGCTCAAGATCCAGATGGATCTTGACAGACTAGAACACTGAGCCGTATCTAACAAAATGAAATTCAATGTAGAGAAAAGTAAAGTCCTACACTTAGGCAAGAAAAACCAGAGGTACACATATAGACTGGGTGAAACCAGGCTTAATAGCAGTAACTGAGAGAGGGATCTTGGAGTCTTAGTGGACAACCAGCTAAATATGAGCCAGCAGTGTGCAGCAGCCACCAAAAAAGCTAATGCAATCCTAAATTGTATTAACAGAGGGATACAATCAAGATCAAGGGAAGTACTAATACTACTCTATAAAGCCTTAGTAAGACCACACCTAGAGTACTGCATCCAGTTTTGTTCACCACACTATAAAAAGATGTTGAGACTCTAGAAAAAGTACAGAGAAGAGCAACCAGGATGATTAGGGGACTGGAGACTAAAACATACAATGAACGGTTGCAGGAACTGGGCTTGGCTAGTTCTAGTAAAGAGAAGGACCAGGGGAGACCTGATAGCAGTCTTCCAATATTTGAGGGGCTGCCACAGGGAGGAAGGGGTCAAGCTATTTTCTAAAGCTCCTGTAGGCCAGACAAGGAATAATGGATGGAAACTGAACAAGGAGAGATTTAACCTGGAAATAAGGAGAAACTTTCTGACAGTGAGAACAATCAACCAATCGAGCAGCTTGCCCTCGGAAGTTGTGGGAGCGCCATCACTCGAGACTTTCAAGAAGAGATTGGATTGCCATTTGCCAGAAATGGTATACGGTCTCCCGCTTGGGCGGTGGGTTGGACTAGATGACCTACAAGGTCCCTTCCAACTCTGATTATCTGTTAATCTGTTAAAAAAGATAGTGCAGTGTGATGTGACCAGGACATTAAATTTTAGGCTGATCATATTTTTTATCTTGTTACTGGGCAGTCCCATGATCATCAAAGAAGTGTATATAGTATATTATAGATAAAAAAATAATAGTAGTCACAAGCAAACCTCATTTTTTTTCTTTTAACAACTTGATGGCAATACAGATAGTCCTTGACTTATGACCACAATTGAGCACAACATTTCTGTTGTTAAGTGAGATATTTGTTAAGTGAGTTTTGCTCCATTTTCAACCTATCTTGCTGCAGTTGTTAAGTGAATTACTGCAGTTGATAAGCTAGTAACATATTTGTTAACTGAATCTGGCTTCCCCATTGATTTTGCTTGTTAAAAGGTCACATTGTGACCTTTTAACAAGATGATCACATGACCTTGGAACACAGCAACATTCATAAGTATGAATCAGTTGCCAAGCATCTGAATTTTGTTTACATGATTATGGGGATATTACAAAGGTAAGGGTAAAAAACAGTCATGTCACTTTTTTCAGTGCCATTATAACTTTCAATGGTCACTAAATGAACTGTTGTAAGTCAAGAACTAGTATTACTTTACTGATCACTCGGATTGTTGCTGCCCTGATATGATATGTCTAGTTTTTTTAATATATCTCTCACAGCATTAGAACTATTCTGTTTCTAATAGACATACCATATCATAGAGAAAATTAAAATTGGGAAAAGTAGCATTCAAATACAATAAAATCTATGTAGCGTAACCAAGCTTTACACTGGACAATTTTCCAGGAACAACCTGACTGGACGATAACTTGGAAACACGGTATGCATTTGCACATGTTATGCATTTGCACATGGAAATCACAGCAGAGGAATATAATCATGACATTAAATCCTGAATTCATTCTTATTTCCAGCTGTCTGCAAAGCTTTAGTATTCTATTTATTGAGCAAAGTGATCATTTTAGGCATTCCCCAAAAGAATACACCCCATCCCATTTTCTTCTGAAGTTTATGGAGATGGGGGAGATCTGAAGGGGTATGTGTGTGAATGGCAAAGTCTTACTTCAATTAATTAATTGAAATAAGAAAGTCATATATATACTCTCTCATATTATACTATTTTTTTCTAAGGCAAAAGAAGCTAATGATTCTGACTCTTTAAATAGTTATTTAGAATAATTTTGGCTAGGTTGGGGACAGAATTCCTACTCTATAAAATATCCTTTTCCTCAGATAAAAACAAAGTGATGTTCTAGTTATTTTTTCCAGAAAGGAATAAGCAGGCGGGATGTATATTTTACTTTGCAAGATAGAAATTTATATTTTAACTTGTTTTTTATTTTATTTTTTAACATTCATTTTTCTTACAACATTTGAAGTTGGAATGAGAGCTTTACATAGATATGACCAGTACGCAGTTTTAAAAGAAAAGAAAATAGTAAATAGCCTTCTGATTTTAATTTTTTATTATTATAAAAATTCCTCAGCAAATAGGCTATACACAATTGTCCCAGATATTTTTTTAAACTAAAATAAACCTATTAAGAACTTAATTATGAAGTTTTTAAATTTCAAATTACATAAATGAGCCAGTGTATTTGTAATTGCTAATGATACGCAAGAATCAGCAGCAGTGAAGGGTACAGGTTGCTGAAGAGAAGAATACATTCCATCAGCTATTTTTTTTCTTCTGAACAGAGATTACAATGTAATATACCATTTATAATGATCCTGCTATGATCTGAAGCACACATATATCACATTATCAAAGGGTTTCCCATAGACAAAAACATTTATTTTTCACATTCAGTGTCTTCTGTTGCCTGCTAATTTTATTTGAAAGAACAAATTTCTATAAACCAGGTACCATGTTGCAATCTGAAGATTACCATTTAATTATACTCTGGCACTTCCTGAAACCATTTTCCTCATTTTCCTGAAACAAAATTTGTGTTTAATTCACATAGAGGTCTTCACTATGCAAGACTTATTTTGAAATCTATAGACTTTATCTACTTAGAAAATAAAAAGAGTTATGTGTCGGATAAATGCAGACAAACCTTATGAAGATTTTTCAGATTGGAAAAATTTTGAGCATTATTAAATATAGTTTTAAATTAATTTGGAAAACTAATTAATTGTCCTGCAATCAATCAATAAACAGCTGGGTGTTTACATAAAAACTAGGCAAAACTTAGATCACACAGTTGCAACCACCATATTGACTTTTTCCTACCATACCCTATAGTCAGTGGTGGGCTTCAAAATTTTTAGCAAAGGATTCTCTGCCCAGTTGCTGGGTGGGTGTGACCATGGTGGGTGTGGCCTAGTTGGCCTCCTGCACCATGGCAGGGGGGCGTTTTTGCCCGCCCCAGGTTCCAGAGGCTTTCCTTTGGACTCATTCCCAGTCTTCCCAAACTTCTGGGTGGCCCATTTTTCACCCTCCCCGAGCCTCTGGTGCACGCTCTGTACTTACCTGCATCCAAAATGGGCCATGTGGGAACTCCTGGAAGGGGGAGGGTGGGGTGGGCAAGGCCAGACAGGAGTGGGATTTGGGGGTTCTTCAAACTGCACAGAATCTTAGCTAGGGGCTCTCCCAAACCCCTGTGAACCCCCAGCAGCCCAGACCTGCCTATAGTCATCCCTAATTCACCAAGTCCTGGTTGCTTCCTATAAGTTTTGTGTAATAACTCCTTCCCAAAGATAGGGGGACGGGAAATTGAAAAGAATCCCCAATCCAGTCAAACAGTTTACAAAAGTGTTGTTACTGTTATTCTGATTTCAACAACCCTCAAATTCCCACCAATCTAACCGCATTTCTTTTACTTTGCCTCATTTCAATATCAAGAAACACTTTTAAAAAATCTTCCTTTTTATGTATATAACTGAAAGATGATTTTATGTTTTGTTTGTATGTTTGTTGTAAAAAATAAAAACTTTATTAAAAAAACTTGCTTTGCCTTTTTCTTTTCTTTTGAATTTATCCGTAGAAAACATAGTTCTTTCTACTTGATTTAGACACTACTCTTCTTCCACCACACTTAAAGCTGGAAGTGAATCTTGAAATGCAGCCTAAGTATTCTTCTCAGTTTTGTTTTTAAAATGTACAGTTAATTTATATAGCTATAACAAAACAAAAACATTGTTTGAGTACAGAGGGATTGATGGAGGGTGCACCATTTCTTCACTGACTTTCTCCTGCAAATTTTCCACAAGCAAAGACTTGTATTGGGAAAGATTGAGAAAATGGCAAGGCTCATCAGCAATCATGTTGGTTTCTACTGTGTTCTTCATTGATTTGTGGGAAGCTGTTAGGGAACTTTGAAAATGAAGATAATGTCACCACGGGTCAACAAAGCAGCATGGCAATACTACATTGATAACATTCAAAAATGTCATTCCCTTGGAAGTAATGGGTCCCAGCATTCAGTAAGTTAGCCCATTTGAGGTACCTTTGTTGATAAAGTTTTGTCCTGTGATATTTTATTTAATTGAAGGTTGCAAAGTATCAAACACACAAAACAGTTTTAGTATTGTGTATTGTATATTCAACCCATGTTGTAGAGGTAAAGGCAAGGAAATGTGGATAAGATCTTTTTTAGCAAAAACTAAAGGTAGAGCATACAGTATATAAAATGTTAGGATATCGAATTTAGTAGCTGGAACAGTAAAGTGTACAATAGGTCAGAACACATAGTTGTAGGTGATTAGTTAGAGAGTGCTGACTCATGCATGATGCAATCTACACAGTGGTGGGCTTCAAGTAATTTAACAACCAGTTCGCTTAGTGACTAGTTGGGTGGGCATGGCTTGGGGAGGTCATGTGACTGAGTGGGTGTGGCCAACTCTACATCACTCATGGCAAGGTGGGATGGTGCAGGTGGGTCGATGCTGCAGAAACAGGGCAATTTCCTATTTACCATTCTGAGCCCCTTCCCCCCTCTCTTGGGCTGACAAAATAAAAGCCCATTTAAAGATGCCACTGCCTGCTGAGCCTGGCTGGTGCATGCTGGCAAAAGGAAGCTAGGGGCATAAAAAGAGAAGGGCCAATGGAAACGCCCCATTTTCCGCCTCCATTGGGCTATCTGCGCCACGCTTGATCGGGATGTCTATATGTACTTACCAGCTTGTTGGAGAATCTCTCTTCCAGCTCACTGGTTTGGGCATTAGGAGCTCGAGGAGTGGATTGTGCGCCCTGAACTCCTACTCCAAGGAGATCTGCTGCTGCTCCAAGTCTGGAGCCTGGCTGCAGCCAACCATCAGCCAATTTTCTTCCAGCACTTGTGCAAGGAACCATGGAGGAGCTTAGTGGTAACATATTGTATGCTTTTCACTCCGGGCAGCCCTGGAAAATGCATGGCTGGGGCAGAGTGGTCCTCCTTAACAATCTCCAAACCGTTGCTGCTATTCCAAGTCTGGGTTCCCTACACGAGTATTGGAAGAAAGGGAGTCTGATTGTGAGGGTGGGCTTTTCCGAGGCCAGTTATAGAGGGAAACAGTGAGTGCACCTTTCCTTCCCAAGAAAAAAGACCGAGCCTACCAGGTGCTTCTGGCCAGTCTCCTGGAGACCTGGCATGAAGGGATGATTGTGGCATCATGCCTGGCTCCGTGTTGCACAGAAAGGCCAGCAGGCAAGGCTTCTGGGTCCAGCAAAGGGGTTGGGGGTGAGACTTCCTCCCCTCTCTTTTGGGGGGAGATTTTCAAACAAAAGGTTGGGAACTTCAAATGAGATGCGAGCTGCAGCCTTGCCCACCCCAGCTAGCAACTCTGGACTGGACAGCAGCTTGGCTTTTTTGGCTGACCGTGACCTTACCTTCCTCACACAGCTGGTGGCAGAGGGGAAGGCGAGCCAAGGCTGAGCCATCACCACTCGTCTCCCCCGCCGCCAGCCAGCATCTCGCCCTCCACTCGGATTCTCTGCAGCTGCTGGGCCTCGCCTACCTGCGGGCAGAGGGTGACCAGGGAGCATGAGGTTATGTGGCCTGTCTCACCCATCTGCCAGCCGCCCCTGCCCTTCCCTCACCCACCAGCCTGCACACTTTGGATGAGTGTGGGCTGCCGCTGTGAGAACAGTGCAAGCACCATAGGCTGCTGGAAAGTAAGGCTGATGGCAGGGAAGGAAGATCTGCTCCAGGCTTGCTGCACTCAGCCGAAGGACCGCCTCAGTGGTGGTGGGGACATGGTGAGGCTCGGAAGCCTTTCGGGCTCTTCTTTGGGCTGCTACCTGCTTGCCCTCCACTCTGCCTTGGGTCCCATATCCAGCGCACAATAAAGGGACATACATGCCATTTCCAGGCTAGCCCAGCGGGTGGATGGGTGAGCAGGTGGCCCTAGGGGGAGACATTTTCTCTCACGCTTCCCACCTGGGCCTTGCAGAAGCTGAACCTTGCCATGTCCCCCTACCCAGTGACCCTGGCTGGGCTCAGCAAGCCCAGAGCAGATCTTCCTTCCCCACCATCAGCCTTACTTTCCAGGAGCCCATGGGGCTTGCACCATTCTCACAGTGGCGGCCTGTAATCATCCAAAGTGTATGGGCCAGAGAGTGAGGAGGAGCAGGGGTGGCTTGCAGAGGGATGAGATATAGGCTGGTGGGGAGCCAACTGGTGATGGCACAGCTTCGATCACCTTCCCCTCTGCCACCAGCCACAGGAGGAAGGTCAGGTCACGGTACAAAAAAGAGGCAGTCATAGGGGAAGAAGCAGAGAGAACACAGGGCTTCTGAAGGAGGGGAAACAGTTGGGGTAGAGGTAAGCGAGCCAATTTTGTGGGTGGTGATGGTAGGGAGGTGTGTCCCTTTAGAAAGGCAGGAACTGGCACATTTCCCCAATCCGAGGCATAGGGTGAGCGGGAAGCATCTGCCTGTAGGCCCTGGGGAAGGCCAGAAGTGGGTATTAGCACATCCCTGACCCAGGGCAATGGGTGAGTTGGAGGTATCCGCCGGTAGGCCCCAGGGAAGACCAGAGGCAGGAACTGGTGCCTTACCTTCTTAGGCAGCCGCGGTGAGCAGAGTGGGCAAGGTATGGAGATCAGCTGGGCCCCTGGCCTGCATGGTAAACTGCAACACAAAAGCAAATCAGGATCTAAATTCCCCTTAGGCAATTCTGTTAGGAGAAAGGACTTAGAACCCTTAGTCTGATGTTGAATGGGCCAATCCACAGGTGCGAAGATGTGAAAACGGTCATCCTGGGAAGGATATAAGGAACTGTTCCCAAGCACTGTTCTCTGGAGGCTTCAGAGCTGAAACAAAACAAATGACCCTCCCCCCCTTACACATTCCCCAAAGGTAAATCAAAGCACAGGGCAGATAGGTGTCAGAGCTAGGATTATAAACTAAGGGATAACAGGATATGTAGGAAAAAGGAAGAAGACAGTAAGTGAATAAATGATCCAGCCCCCCGCCCCCCTCCCCCAGAAATGGCAGTATCATGATAGGCATCTGACAGTTTATTTTTATTTTTTATTTTCTTTATTTTATTTTGTCAAGCAATAATAAGATAACAGGTATAAGTATAAACATAGTTGGTATTCAGCTTTGTTCGGGTATTTTCCCACATCATTATAGTTGTGCTTTTAAAGTTGTAGCAATGTTTCGGTAGAATCTCATCTGCCATCATCAGGCTTCTGTATAGTGTTCGTCTGTGAGTCAGACTTTCACACCCGTTTCTGTTTTAAATTTGGAGCTAACCTTCGCTGTGCCAGAATAGTTTTTTCTTCATCCAGATGGGTTGGGAGTCTTGGTCTGTGTTCTTGGTCTTGGAGTTCTGCTTGATTAGTGTTTCTAATATCTTCTGTCTGTTTTGTAGCTTTTTTTGTCTTGATTGGCTGGCAATCAAGAAAATAAACATAGTTATGAATACATGAAATGGATACATATAAGAAAAATAAAAAGAAACAATAGGACAGGGACGGTAGGCACGTTGGTGCATTTATGCAGGCCACCTACAGACCACACTATCACACTACTAACTAGAGCATACAAAACATTTGCTAGACCAATACTTGAATACAGCTCATCAGTCTGGAACCCGCATTATGTATCTGACATTAATACAGTTGAAAAAGTCCAGAAATATTTCACAAGAAGAGTTCTCCATTCCTCTACTTGTTGCAGAATACCTTATGCCACCAGACTTGAACTTCTAGATCTAGAAAACCTAGAACTACACCGCCTTCGGTCCGATCTAAGTATAGTATATAAAATCATACATTGCAATGTCCTACTGTCAATGAATACTTCAGCTTCAACCATAACAATACAAGAGCAAACAATAGATACAAACTCAAGGTTAATTGCACCAAACTTGATTGCAAGAAATACCACTTCAGCAACAGAGTGATCAATGTCTGGAATCCTCTACCTGACTCTGTAGTTTCTTCCCCAAACCCCAAAAAGTTTAACCTTAAACTGTCTACTATTGACCTCATCCCTTTCCTAAGAGTTTGACAGTCCTGCTCTAGACTATTCAATACAAGTTCAATGTTGTGTTTAAACCTAGGGAAGCTAGACCTGCTAGCATCTGAGCAATTAATGGAAGGTTACTTTATCATGGTATCTCAGGGTTTATTCCATCCAACTTTTGTAAAGAAAACATAAGAAATTACTTTCAGCAGTTATAATGATTAATAGCCACAGGTTTTTCCCTTAGCTGCTTCAGTGAATTAACCAAATTATATAGTACAAATAATTAATATTGTCATCAAATCCACCACTATCTTTTTATGCATTTATCCAATTTATATATCTGACTATACAGACTTCTGCCTGGCTGAGAAATTGTACTTTTATCAGTTGCTTACTCATCTTTATGAAACAATTCATATATTTAAAATAAGGTTGGGAGATACTTTATGTGAAGTCTGTGAAACTTTGCCCATGTCAGCCTTTTTTATCTGGTGTTTTCCAGATGAAATGTCAATACTTCAGAAAGACAAGGATGATCTGGTGCATTTTATTTTCCATTTACATATTTTCCCTACAAAGCATAAGATGAGCATGTGACAGGTTCACCTTTGAATGGCTTCTAAAGATATATGCATGCACACAGACAGACACACAGACACATGCATACAGACACACACAACATACACACACACAGAGAAGATCTAACTGCACAGTTGAGAATTTTAACAGAGCTTGTGTCTATTACTCCAATCGTCATCTACATTGCTGTTGATCTTCCTTTGGCAACTTAGGGTTGTTTGATTCTACTGTAGTGTTGTGATGTACCTTGGCTTTTTCCTCCTATAGAGTTGCTCCTGTGGCCTCCAATCTGTCTTCTTCCCTCTCCAATTTGACAAAGCGCAAATTAGATTAATCTGGAAGAAACAATAAACTTGCAAAGAAGGTAAAGTAAGACTTAGAATTATCTCAATAGGATGGAATTGAATTAAAATTAACCCAGTGAAATAGGACAACATTCATGTAAACATTATTTAAATAAGGAATGTTTTGTGCTCCTCAGACACTCCCAGATTGGGTAACTTTAGAAATATAACTTCTGTTTTGCATCTTTAAGGTTTTTGAGATGGTATTGTTGGAAGAAATGTCCATCTGGATTCAATTCCAAGTGGGGAAGACACTGGAAACATGGTGGCTGCTTGGAAGGATTTTTTTTTAATTAATTTTTATTATGCTGTTTCACTATTACACATCTCTTGTACACTCTTAACAACTCTATGACATCAATGTTTTCACTTATATCTACATACATACATATATACTTTTAATTCTTATTTCTTTTGTCTAAGCAACTATACTTACTTATCCCAGACTGTATAATATTCTGATTCCTCCCTATCTTGCAGTTCCAATGTAAGTTTAACCATCTCTGCACAGTCCAACACTTTCTTTATTACCATACCTTCGGAAGCGGTACTGTCCAGTTTCCAGTGCATAGGCAATTCTTGCCACTGTCACTATATGTACTACAATATATTTGGTTTTTTAATTAAATTCTCCTCTAATTATTCCTAACAAAAACATTTCAGATTTGAGTTCAGTTTGAAGACCTATAATTTCCTGTAGACAATGTTTAATTTTAACCTAATATTGCCTTCCTTGGGGACACAACTACCACATATGAAAGAAGGTACCATGTCTCTGTTTGCACTTCCAGCAATCTGGACTCATGTTTGGATATAACTTTGCCAATCTTGCTGGTGCTAAATGCCAAAAGCAAAACATTTTGTGATAGGAAGTTATTCAGTGTGAAGACAAGACTTTGTGATAGCAAGAGGAAATTAAAGAAAAGAAGAAGGTAGCTGATGCAACAGATGGTGTATGGACTGAAATAGGTGTAATCTTATTAAGTGTTAATAATATATTATATGCTATAATGATAGAGACCTGTGTATATATTTACTAAGAATGTTTTATATCAAAATTAGAATATAGATAAGAGGGGAGTTAATTATTGATTATATACTTTGAAATTAAATTAATAATTAATAATATCTCATATGAAACTGAATTATAGCTAAAATATATCTATGTTATCTATTCTTAATTGAGAATTGCTGCTTCCTATTAGAGTTTTTCTTCTTCTCTTTTTCTTGCTCCTTTTAGTTTAAATATATAGTTTATTAGTTAAGTGCCCAGAAATAATTTATAGAGAATACCATAATATTATAATACATTATTACCCTAACCTATCTCACTGGCCTAGTATTGTGGTAATGGAAAGGAGTTATTAGATATTTATTTATTTTATATTTATTATACTGACAGTTATTACATAAACTATATTTAGGATAGAAAATAACAGTGGGAGGAAGAGGCGATTGTGTAAATTGATTTGGAAGATGAATTGATTTAAACCTAATGAATTAAGTGCTGATTAGAATCAACTTATAGGTAGGGATTAGAATATCAAAATAGTGGAACAATATTAATATATATAACAAAATTTAAACTAAAATCTAAAAATATAATGTATAGATTTCCTCTTATTCTTCTCCTGTAGGAACAGGCAGGAGAAAAAGCACAAAATTAAAATTCACAATTCTGACATTCTAACCAGCATTTTCATTTTACTTGTTCGGATTCTGTGTATTTGTCCAATGACTTAAAATTGTGAAAAAGGAGTGCAGATAAAAGCATTTTCTCCTCATGACTAGACATCTGTTCCATAAATGATAATGTGCTCCTGGAATCCTTAGTGTTTGCATCTGTAAGCTAAAAATAAATATACATAGATATACAAAGATAAGAATTTGCTTTCCACTTGAATGTCAAGGTTCCAGAAAACCCCAACTCCAGTTAAAAACTTCAAGACATTTTCTCAAAGTTTCCTTTTATTCAAGTAGGTATACTGGCACATCTGGGAAAACCCAAACCTGAGAGTTCTGTGTTTTTCCTTAGTAATTCAAAAGTCAAAACCCAACCCCTTCACTCATCAGTCCATCACATGGTCCAATCACTAGCCATCCCAACTTGAGACATCCTTTTAACCACTCCTCCTCCAGGTGCAGGAATAACATGACCTTGACCGAAAAGAAGAATTATGTCTAACTACCAACACTCTAAAAATCCCCTCTCCTACTTTCCCAGGCACAGGAATGTGGCAGAGTGGAAGCTTCTGGTACTAGTATGGCTTCCAAAGCTAACATTAAGTTGGAATCCTGATAACACATGAAAGAAATACCATCTTGATCCTGACTGTTTTTATCAGTCCCTGAAAAATTGAAAGAGACTATTCATTGTAAGCACATCAAGCAGCTGGCATGTTCAAGCACTTGTCATTAGCTTTTTCTAAGACACAGATCTTTGGAAAGGAGCAGGAGAATCCATTTGTTGGTCCTGATTGCTATTTGTTAAAATGTTTTTGGCAATTGAACAGTGAGATTCTCAAATCACCTTTCAGTTTTTTATTGCCTAGGGCCTAGGCAAATAAATCCCCTTTTTGAAATCTGGACCTTTCAGTCCTGATATATAAATTACTGTACTTCAAAGCACATTAGGAAATCCATCCTATGGTCTCACAGTGGTAATTCAGAGACAATGCAGCTTAATTTTCTATAGGTTAAAGAGTCAAAACCAGCAATTGTATCCATGAAACATAAATAGGAATGTATGTTGATGTGTGAATCTTATTAGACTGGAAAGAGCTGGGGGTAAATATAAATTTTTTTTTCTTTAATGGCTTGCTTTCATCAATGGCAAAATTCTTCTGATGCTTGGTGCGTGCCATTGATATGTAATAAATATCCATCACTATGGACTAGAACAAAATGCAAAAATAAGGTGAGGGCAACCAATGAGTGCAAATGTATATAACAGTTTCCTTGCCTTGGGGAAAAATAAGCAAAGTTATCCAGTGATTGCACTGCCATCAGCATGTCATTAACTATTCCAGATGGTGGTACTTTTACTGCAAAGTTTGTCAGGTATAATGAGGAGGCTAAAAATAACTAAATAATGAAGTGTGACCCAATAATAGAGCAATTTACAAAAGAAATTGCTTAGTATCAGTGAACACTTAGATCCCAGAAACAGAAGGAAGAAAAGAATAACCCAGAGTGTAATGGTTCCTTTGCAACTGGTGAATACAGAATCACTGTTAGCTTTATAAAAATCCATGTATTTTTTTTCAGTAAATCTGCAGAATATTTTTACTTTAAATGCATAACCAATTTTCTCTGGTATTCTCAAGGAAGCATATGAATGCCACTTTTTATATAGGATTTTTTTATTTTTCAATTTAAAAAATACAAACATTCCATTTTTTCCTCAAGCAGTGTGTCATCTGGGTATAAAAGTCTTTGTGCTACATTTTTCACCATTTACATTCATATTTACCTTGATATTATTTCTCAAGCTTTGAATTAAAATGCATCAAACAGTTAAACAACCCTTCTAGTGATAGTACCTTATTGACCTTACATCTCATTATTCTCATCATAGTTGAATTAACAATTATCATCTTATATCTCTCTCTATCTTATCTTATTTTCTAATCTCCTTTATTCGTTTCCAGCTTCCTTTTTTATTCTCTAACCATTGATAAAATGTATTCCATATCATATAGTACTCAGTTTGCTCTTTGTCCTTAATTGCTAGTGTTAGTCTGTTCATCCCTGAATATTCTAATATTTTCCTAATTACTTCCTTTTCTGTGGTGATCTCCTCCCCTTTCCATTGTTGTGCAAATACAATTCTATCTGCAGTTAGTACATGAATAATTAGATATATATTCTTTTTATTATACACATCAGGTAAAATCCCTAACAGAAACAGAAACTTTTCACTCCACTGCTAATAAAAATTGATTTTTCAGAATCTCTCACCCAGTTCAATCACATTGATAGTCTTTCTTCATTACTTCCTTCTGTTCCAAATTTAGGGTGGCCACATCATGGCCATTATTTCCAAGCTGTTGGTTTTGAGAGCCTTCTCTGGATCAGTCAGGGAGTTTGTGGGCTCCCTGATATCCGCAGAGTGTGGTCTCCTCCTTCATCACCCCTTCGAGATAATTCTGGTCCAAACAGACCGTCCCGGCAGCTGGATTCGGCACAGTCCCCTGGAACTCCCAAGAGATGTGTCGTCTTGCTGTGATGCTAGCCACACCTCCATATGAATTCCACTTATGTTTCTGTTTCCTTTAGGTTTTTTTCTCTAAGCTTTTGGTACATTTTTTGTATGGACTTTTCCTAAAGTGTCTGATTTAATTCTCTATACCCATAGGTTGATTTTTGTGCAACTACCCAAAATTTGGATTAACTCTTATAAACATTTTTACCATCTACACCAGTGGTTCCCAAAGTGGGTGGTACCACCACCTGGGGGGCAGTGGGATGACTTGGGGGGGGCGATAAGAGGCAAGGGGGCTGGCAGAGGAGTGCTGGAGGTTGGCCCCTCACAGGCCGCAATTCAGCTTCCCCCCCACCCCACTTGCCTGGTTTGCTGGTGGCTTAGAGGAAGACGAGCCAGGGCTGACCAGTTGCCACTTGGGTCCCACCTGGATTCTCCATAGCTGCTGAGCCTTGCCTGCTAGGGGCAGGGGAGGCAACCAGGGAGCACAATGCTGCCTCCTGCATCACCCCTTGCCTGCCGCCCCCTTCCCTCTGCCGCCTGCCAGCCTGCGCATTTTGGCTGAATGCGGGCTACTGCTGTGAGAATGATGCGAGTCAAGCCTTGCGAGAGTAGATCTTGCACCCATGGAGCTTGCATAGCAGCAGCCTCTGCTCAGCTAAAACACTCGGAGGGGTGGCTGGCAGAGGGGCGATGCAGGTAGCGTAAGGCCTCTTGCTTCCTGGTTGCCTCCCGCACTCCTTCCATCTGCATGGAACTGCAGTGACTCCCAGCCTCAGGGCATTCCCTGCTCCTGCATCTCTCTCATCCCTGCCCTTGTAGCTGCTCCTGCCAGGGTAGGCATCACTGCTGTCATGGTGTCCAGGGATGAGGGATTCCCATCTCTCTCATCTGGCTGCTTACAACACTGGTCACCACCTGGCATCAAGCCAGGTCTATTTTGCTTTCAGAGTTTGAAATGCGTCCATTATGAATCACATGGCTTGCTTCATGAGGAGGTCAGCACAGTCAGGTTCATCCCCTTCCTTCTCCTCATCTTCTACCCTTTCCGATGAACACCATTTGCAATCTCCTGCCAGTTTCCCTGTTGACTTTGCTTGTTGGAAGTCATCAGGCCTCAGATGAGGGTCCTGATGACTTCCAACAAGCAAAGTCAACAGGGAAACTGGCAGGAGATTGCAAATGGTGTTC